ACCATAGGAACCTGGAATGTAAGATCTATGAGCCAGGGCAAATTGGATGTTGTTATTGGTGAGATGTCAAGACTAAAGATAGACATTCTGGGGGTCAGCGAACTGAATGGACTGGAATGGGCCACTTCACATCAGATGACCACCAAATCTACTACTGCGGACAAGAGGAACATCGAAGAAATGGAGTAGCCTTCATAATTAATAAGAAATTCACTAAAGCGGTGCTTGGATACAACCCAAAAAATGACAGAATGATCTCAATTCGAGTGCAAGGAAAGCCTTTCAACATTACAGTGATCCAAATATACGCCCCAACCACAGCTGCTGAAGAAGCAGAAGTAGATCAGTTCTATGAGGATCTGCAGACCTACTGGATAATACACCAAAAAGAGACATTATTTTCATTACAGGAGACTGGAATGCCAAGGTGGGAAGTCAAATGACAACAGGGATCACAGGCAAGCATGGTCTGGGAGAACAAAATGAAGCGGGACGCAGGCTGATAGAATTTTGCCAAGAAAACTCGCTGTGTATAACGAATACTCTCTTCCAACAACCTAAAAGACGGCTTTACACATGGACCTCACCAGACGGTCAACACCGAAATCAGATTGACTACATCCTTTGCAGCCAAAGGTGGCGGACATCCATCCAGTCGTTGAAAACAAGACCTGGGGCTGACTGTAGCTCAGATCACGAACTTCTTATTGCTCAATTTAGAATAAAACTAAAGAGATCAGGGAAAATACACAGACCAGTTAGATATGATCTCACTACATTCCTAGCGAATATACAGTGGAAGTGAAGAACAGATTTGAAGGACTAGATTTAGTAAACAGAGTCCCAGAAGAACTATGGACAGAAGTCCGCAACATTGTTCAGGAGACGGCAACAAAGTATGTTCCAAAGAAAAAGAAAACCAAGAAGGCAAAATGGTTGTCTGCTGAGACACTGGAAGTAGCCCAAGAAAGGAGGAAAGCAAAAGGAAACAGGGATAAGGGGAGATATGCCCAGTTAAATGCGCAATTCCAGAGGTTAGCCAGAAGAGATAAGGGACTATTTTTAAATAAGCAATGCATGGAAGTGGAAGAAGACAACAGAATAGGAAGGACAAGAGACCTCTTCCAGAAAATTAGAAACATTGGAGGTAAATTTCAGGCAAAAATTGGTATGATAAGAAACAAAGATGGCAGGGACCTAACAGAAGCTGAAGAGATCAAGAGAAGGTGGCGAGACTATACAGAAGATCTGTATAGGAAGGATAACAATATCGAGGATAGCTTTGACGGTGTGGTGAATGAATTAGAACCAGACATCCTGAGGAGTGAGGTTGAATGGGCCTTAAGAAGCATTGCTAACAACAAGGCAGCAGGAGATGACGGGATCCCAGCTGAACTGTTTAAAATATTAAAAGATGATGCTGTCAAGGTGATGCATGCCATTTGCCAGCAAATATGGAAAACACAAGAATGGCCATCAGACTGGAAAAAATCAACTTATATCTCCATGCCAAAAAAGGGAAATGCGAAAGAATGCTCAAACTTTCGTACAGTGGCACTTATTTCACATGCCGGTAAGGTAATGCTCAAGATCCTGCAAGATAGACTCCAGCAATACATGGAGAGAGAGTTGTCAGATGTTCAAGCGGGGTTTAGAAAAGGTAGAGGAACGAGAGACCAAATTGCCAATATCCGCTGGATAATGGAGAAAGGCAGGGAGTTTCAGAAAACATCTACTTCTGCTTCATTGACTATTCTAAAGCCTTTGACTGTGTGGATCATAATAAATTGTGGCAAGTTCTTAGTGGGATGGGCATCCCAAGCCACCTTGTCTCTCTCCTGAGGAATCTGTACAAGGACCAAGTAGCAACCGTCAGAACTGACCACGGAACAACAGACTGGTTCAAGATTGGGAAAGGCGTACGGCAAGGCTGCATACTCTCACCCAACCTTTTTAACTTGTATGCAGAACACATCATGCATGTGCGGGGCTGGATGAATGCAAAGCTGGGGTGAAAATTGCTGGAAGAAACATTAACAACCTCAGATATGCAGATGACACCACTCTGATGGCCGAAAGCGAGGAGCTGAGGAGCCTTCTAATCAAGGTGAAAGAAGAAAGCGCAAAAGCCGGGTTGCAGCTAAACATCAAAAAAACCAAGATTATGGCAACAAGAATGATTGACAACTGGAAAATAGAGGGAGAAAATGTGGAGGCCATGACAGACTTTGTATTTCTAGGTGCAAAGATTACTGCAGATGCAGACTGTAGCCAGGAAATCAGAAGACGCTTACTTCTTGGGAGGAGAGCAATGTCCAATCTCGATAAAATAGTAAAGAGTAGAGACATCAGAATGGCAACAAAGATCCGCCTAGTCAAAGCCATGGTATTCCCTGTAGTAACCTACGGATGTGGGAGCTGGACCTTAGGGAAGGCTGAGCGAAGGAAGATCGATGCTTTTGAACTGTGGTGTTGGAGGAAAGTTCTGAGAGTGCCTTGGACTGCGAGAAGATCCAACCAGTCCATCCTCCAGGAAATAAAGCCCGACTGCTCACTGGAGGGAAATATACTAGAGACAAAGTTGAAGTACTTTGGCCACATCATGAGGAGACAGGAAAGCCTAGAGAAGACAATTATGCTGGGGAAAGTGGAAGGCAAAAGGAAGAGGGGCCGACCAAGGGCAAGATGGATGGATGGCATCCTTGAAGTGACTGGACGGACCTTGAGGGAGCTGGGGGTGGTAACGGCCGACAGGGAGCTCTGGCGTGGGCTGGTCCATGAGGTCACGAAGAGTCGGAGACGACTGAACGAATGAACAACAACAGATTCCCCCAAACAGAGTCTTTAGAATGCTTAAAGTAAATCCAACAAAGTTCTTTATTGATGAAAACGAACAGGTACTTTTAAGCTTTCTTAACAGTCTATAGGCTCTTGCCTATAGGGGAACAGGCACTGTCTTCTTAACTGTAATTAACTAATGGGGAAATCCTTAACTTCTAATCTGGGCAGTCTGTACTTGCCTCTGTTGGCGTGGAGCCCCTGCACCCGGTACCAACTGCGTCTGGCTTCCGCGAGCGACCCTTGCCAAGCAGAGCTTTGTAGACTTCCAGGGAAAAAGAAGGAGTTCAGGTTGCTGTGATGGCTGGCTAAACTCCCTCAGCGAAGGAGCTGTAAGGCTGTAGAACTCAAGTCAGGCTGTAGGCTGTATATCTCCCCAGCTAAGCCGTAGAAGACGAAGCTTTCTACAGGAGCTCTAGGTTTTATGTCCCGTGCAAAAGCTGCTCTTACTTATACTGTTCTCAGCCCGAAGGCGACTCACAGCGGTTCACAACAAATACGAACAGCAAAAATTCAGTGCTACAGTATAGAAACAGTTAACAACCTAACACATTACACAATTAATAAACAGTTACTACAATACCCATTCACTGTCATCTCGTCATCAAAAACATGTTCCAGATTCGTCATCCATTGTTCCATTCCAGTGTTCATTAACCAATCATTGCACTAATTATTCGAACACCTGCTCAAACAGCCAGGTCTTCACCTTTTTGCGGAATACCATTAGAGATGGTGCTAGTCTAATGTCCGTAGGAAGGGCGTTCCACAGCCGAGGAGCCACCACCGAGAAGGCCCTATCTCTCGTCCCCGCCAGCCGAACTTGAGAAGCAGGCGGGATCGAGAGCAGGGTCTCCCCGGAAGATCTCAAAGTCCTGGTGGGTTCATAGGCAGAGATGCGGTCAGATAGGTAGCTTGGGCCGGAACCGTTTAGGGCTTTAAAGGCCAACGCCAGCACTTTGAATTCAGCCCGGTAGCAGATCGGTAGCCAGTGGAGTTGGCGCAACAGGGGGGTTGTATACTCCCTGCGCTCCGCTCCTGTTAAAATCATGGCTGCCGAGCGTTGGACTAGTTGGAGCTTCCGAGCTGTCTTCAAAGGCAACCCCACGTAGAGAGCGTTGCAGTAGTCTAAGTGGGATGTAACCAGAGCGTGGACTACTGTGGCCAAGTCAGACTTCCCAAGATACGGTTGCTGTGATGGCCGGCTAAACTCCCTCAGCGAAGGAGCTGTAAGGCTGTAGAACTCAAGTCAGGCTGTAGGCTGTATATCTCCCCAGCTAAGCCGTAGAAGACGAAGCTTTCTACAGGAGCTCTAGGTTTTATGTCCTGTGCGAAAGCTGCTCTGTGTACACTGAACTCAAAATGGCTCCTATTCCCACTAAAACTCAAAAAGGGGTGGGACCAGGGAACCTCACTATAATTGACAGGTGGCTTGCCCTATGATTGCAAACTATAACAGGAAACCACCCTGCTGCAACATCCCAAGCCTGGGATTGCAAACAAACATTTAAACGCAAAGCAAACAAAATTGGAGCTCCTGGTACAACTGCACCAGCACAGTCCCTATGTAGACTTGTCCACAGCTGCATGGTATACAGTAGACTCCTGCAGAAGTGAGAGGATCCCTCTTGTCCTTTGCTAAATGGAGCATTTGTTGGATTTTCTGTAGATAGTTTGTATGTTGTGTTTCCTCATCAGCTTCCCTATGCGGCCAATGGTTCCCTTGATGTATGGCAGGAACACTTTTCCTGTGGGTGAATCTTTGAAAGAGGGTGGAAAGAATAATAGGACTGTAGGCCTCCTTCCTCCACTTAGGCCTGGAAAAGGGTCTGGCAGTGCCATGGCAACCTTCCCCATTCGCATTCCAAACAGCCCCTGCTCAAGGTCAGAGCGGGAGACCCCGTAGCGCCATTAAGAAAAGGGAATGTGCACTCAGGCAAGCCGGTTGCCATAGCGGCCGCTGGATCCTATAAGAGACTGATATGCAAATAAGAGGGCGTGGTTTCTCATACGCCACGCCCCCTCTCCTGACACGGTGACCAAGCTCTTCCCCTTTCTCAGGTTGAGAGCCCAGGAAACCAACATGGCGGCTGGCTCGCGACCAAAGCGAGGCGGCGGGGTGACGTCAGCACGCACGGCCCCGCCTCCCAACCCGGAAGTGCGTCTCTAGGCCCGAGCGGCGGCGGCGGCGGGGCGGCTTTCTCGTCATGGCGGCCGCCGCCGAGCTGCAAAGCAAATACCAGAAGCTTGCGCAGGAGTATTCCAAGGTACCGGGACACGGCACAGAGCGGAGGCCCCTTCCCCATAGTAGCGCTGCCCCCTCTTATTCACCTCCATTGAGGAGAATGTACCCGGTTACGGAAGCCCTGGAGGGTCAGTTCCCGAATGTGAAGCCCAGAACGCCCTGTTGCAGCATTCCTGCAGTTTCTCCAATGCCTGGTTTATTGGTTAGCAGGAAACAGGTCCCTCTGAGGCTCTTCCCACACAGCTGAATAGAATCCTAAATGATCTGCTTTGAACTGGGATATATGGCAGTGTGGACTGAGCTATTCCAGTTCAAAGCAGGTATTGTGGGTTATTCTGCCTTGATATGCTGGGTTTATATGGCTGTATGGGAAGGGAAGGACCCTGAATGGGTAGAAAATATATCTTTGCATATATAGAAAACCCCAGGTCCAGATCTAAGCATCTCTGCTGGAGGAAGGAAAGATCAAGTGGGTGTGGTGGGTGAGCCTATGGAGAGTTGTGGGTTGTGTCTCTATGTTATCAACCTAGGGCCCTTCCACACAGCCCTATATCCCAGAATATCAAGGCATGAAATCCCACAATATCTGATAATTTGAGTCCACACTCAGATTATGTGGGATTTTCTGCCATGAGCGGAGTGCCGCAGGGTTCCGTCCTGGGCCCGGTTCTGTTCAACATCTTTATTAATGACTTAGATGAAGGGCTAGAAGGCATGATCATCAAGTTTGCAGACGACACCAAATTGGGAGGGATAGCCAATACTCCAGAAGACAGGAGCAGGATTCAAAACGATCTTGACAGATTAGAGAGATGGGCCAAAACTAACAAAATGAAGTTCAACAGGGACAAATGCAAGATACTCCACTTTGGCAGGAAAAACGAAATGTAAAGATACAGAATGGGGGACAGTGCCTGGCTTGAGAGCCGTACGTGTGAAAAAGATCTTGGAGTCCTTGTGGACAACAAGTTAAACATGAGCCAACAATGTGATGTGGCGGCAAAAAAAGCCAATGGGATTTTGGCCTGCATCAATAGGAGCATAGTGTCTAGATCTAAGGAAGTAATGCTACCCCTCTATTCTGTTTTGGTTAGACCACATCTGGAATATTGTGTCCACTTCTGGGCACCACAATTCAAGAGAGATATTGACAAGCTGGAATGTGTCCAGAGGAGAGCGACTAAAATGATAAAAGGTCTGGAGAACAAGCCCTATGAGGAGCGGCTTAAGGAGCTGGGCATGTTTAGCCTGAAGAAGAGAAGGCTGAGAGGGGATATGATAGCCATGTATAAATATGTGAGAGGAAGCCACAGGGAGGAGGGAGCGAGCTTGTTTTCTGCTTCCCTGGAGACTAGGACGCGGAACAATGGCTTTGCAAGGATATCTAATTTCCACTTGTGAGTGTGTGTTGGCATTCATACAATGGGGAAAGGAGTGTGTTCTTCTGATACAACTTTCATTTCAGTTCCACCATGTGACATATATAGACTAGACCATCGGTCCCATCAGACTTGGTCAACAGAATCCATAGTGAAGGTCCATGAGTGTTCCAGTCCAACAGCATCTTGAGGACACTTTACGTCATATTCTTTCCATTGGAAAATGGCTCTTTGAACTCAAGAATGATATCTAGGTTTTCTTTAAAAGTAAAGTCCTTCTGAATATAGTTTCATAGCAGTAGTTGAAATGGATGCTTTTTAGGTTTCTGTCCAAATGTTGGTATTCTAATTTGCTTTGCAGCATTACTATAGAGCAGTGATTCCCAAACTCCACTCATCCAGTTGCTTTGGACTTCAACTCCCAGAAGCCTCAACTGCCTTGGCCAATGATCAGGGCTTCTGGGAGCGGAAATTCTAGCCAGCTAGAAGACTAAGAGTTTGGCTAACGCTGCTGTGGAGTAACCTGTTACCCTTTGTGCTACTATTGATGGTGCACATAATTTTATTTTTTCATCCAATATATTTCATACCACTTCCTATGAAAGTTATCCCAAGTGGAATTTAGATTTTTCCGTCTCTCTTTTGGAAAAAAGCAAACAAGGGAAAATGTTGTTTGGAAGAATAAAAGGAGGTTATTAGAAATGAGTGGAACATAGTATATGCATGGGCGTTAAGGCTATTAGTAGCTACTGATCATGAGCATTTTATTACCTATATTATTGGAGGGAGTATGCCTTTAATTACCAGTTGCAATAAATTTGAGTGGAAGATGACATTAAGCTTATGTCATTTGTGTTGACTTCCTAGGGGCAACTGATTGGTCACCATGGAAGTAGGTTGATAGAAGAGACAGATCTTTGTCTCATTCAGTAAAACACTTAAGACTCATTATGTCCTTTGATTAGCGGTTGCTGAGATTTTAAAGCCATAATGTGTATGCAGCACAGAAAACACATTAGACCAGTGTGTTATGCTTTAACTATTTAATTCCAGTAAATGTTTTCCATATCGCCTGACTACCAGGCAAATGTCAAGAGGCATAATGGTGTTCAAGGTTTTTAAACATAGACTAGATGGCTACTAGTCAGGAGTGCTTTGATTGTATCTTCCTACATGGCAGAAAGGGGTTGGACTGGATGACCTTTGTAGTTTTTTTACGCTCTTGAGTCTATGACAAGCCCTTATGGTACTAAAAATCAGTTTAATGGTGCTTGGTCATATTCATTAGTACTGTACTACTATTGAGTCCATTAGACCCTAAACCTCGTATCACTTTCCTTCAAGACTGAGCCATTACAGAGTTCCTCTCTGGACTAATGCTTTCAAATTATTAATCAAGCCACTTTGCCTAGAAGTACTTTACCTAAGATAGCATTTTAGGAACTCAAATCAGATTTATACTATAAGTGTTCTGTTTCATCTTGTCAGTGAGATAGTTTAATTGAATTTTAGGTGCCTTAAATTTATCTGATTCTTTACTGTATTCCTACTGAAGATATTCTTGTCCTGTGCTCTTCTCAACGTGCTTAATATTTACCAAAAAAAGAGGTCAGGATTTTGCACTGTTGATCATCTGGTAACCATATTTCATCACAACCGGGTTAATGATTTCTCTCTGTTCCTCTTCCCCAGCTTCGAGCTCAGAATCATGTGTTGAAAAAGGGTGTTGTGGATGAACAAGCAAACTCAGCAGCCCTGAAGGTATGTCCTTAAAATACTTTTTTTTTTTAAAAAAAGGGGGAGCTTGGTCATCACATTGGCTACTTGATTAGGAGAGACATTTCTGTGCAGAGGTTAAAATGGCTCCCTTCAGAGTTTGGTAGGATTACTTTATGGTACCAGCAGGGGCGGCTCAACCCATTACGCAAAGTAAGCATTTGCAGTATAGTTGATTTTGCCCAGGGGCGCTCTTGAGGCGGCTCTTGGGGGAAAATAGACCTTGACATATGCGAGTTCTAGTTACTGGGATGTATAATTCACCTACAATCAAAGAGCATTCTGAACTCCACCAATGATGGAATTGAACCAAATATGGCACACAGAACTCCCACGACGAACAGAAAATATATATCAGTGATTGGTTTGGGAGGGGGGGGGGCAAAATACTGTTTGGTTACCGTTGAAAATTACCTAGGGCCGCCTCTGGGTACCAGCATTCTATAAAGGCAAATTTCTGACATAATATTCTATAGCAAGAATAGTTTGACAGTCTACAAGCTCACACAAGATTTCTCAGACATCTAGAAGATTGGCGTTGATGAAAAGAAGAGGAAGTTTATGATGTTCTCCAGAAGCTGGCTTTGAGCTTCCTCTTTCTTTAATGCCTGATTTTGAAGGGTATTTTGGTTTTTTTTTTAATGTCATCTGTCCTACAATGCCTTGGCTCTGAGAAAACCTTGGGCTTTCAAGAAATTCAAGCTTGAAGCCAGCTATTACCTCTTCTCATCATTCCCTTCACCATCTCTGACCTTCCTTGTCTTTATGATTGCCATCACATTCTCTTTATCCCATGTAATTAAATGTGTGGGTCTCACTAAAATCTCTGCCTTGTAGTGCAACTTCCAAAATCTCCAGTTAGATATCTGCTGGCCATGATGACTTGGAGAATTCTGAAAGTTGCGGTCAGAAAAAAAATAAGCCCTCCAAGCTCTGAACTGGAATTGGTTCCAATGTGAAACAACTCTTAAGTTTAGAAGTAATCCCACTGCAGCTCATACTGATACATTTTTATAGGATTTCATTGTTATTCCCCCTGAAGAAGACTCCCTGACTACTGGCAGCAGTCTGCAGAACTGATGAAAACCACATGCTGTTGCATCACTACTGTCAGTTACAGATGGAGATTGAAATTTCATTTCTGTTGTTGAGAGCTGTTGCTGTGGTTATTTTTTTTTCTTGACCACAGCCAAGAGTGGGCTAAACCCTCTGCGGAACCTGTCAAGAATTGTAATTTGTAGGATGTTTCTTTAGTCTGTACAGGCAGTTCCCAAGCTACAAGCATCCGACTTAGAAATGATTCGTAGTGAAGAACTGGGGTGAGACAACAGGAAGTGACAGATATATACCCCAGGAAAGGAAATCCACTCCTGAAAGAGCTATTGTGGGAAAAGGTGTCTCCACTGAAGCTTTCTCACCAATTTTTGTTTCCATAACACACTTTTTTTTTCAAAATCCAATTATCATAGGGGCAGAAAGTGAAATATTCTGAACAGGGCCACAGACAGCAAAACAAACACCCTTCCCTATGCTATGGGGAGATAGAGTGGAATATAAATAAAGTTACCTATTATTATTATTATTATTATTATTATTATTATTATTATTATTAAAATGGTCCATGCCAGACCCTGATGAAACTTTTCATCCTAATGCAGGAGCAATTAAAAATGAAGGACCAGTCACTCAGAAAGCTGCAGCAGGAGATGGACAGCTTGACCTTCCGAAATCAACAGCTGGCCAAGAGGGTAGAGCTGCTTCAGGATGAACTTGTGTTAAGTGAATCTAAAGGCAAGAAGAACAAGGTAAGTACCACGAAAGGCCAGTGGGCAGATATCTGAAATCAGTCTGTTGCAAAGAAGGGTGACAACATTAGAGGCTTTTTAGTTTCAAAAAATAAGCTGAGATGATGATATAGACTTACAAGATTATGCCTGGTTCTTTCTCTCTCATGATACTAGTATCTTGATTTCTCCAGTGAAGTTGAGTGATGGAAAGTTGGAGCAGGCAGAAGGAGTGTCTGAACTTTACACAATGCATAGTGGCTTTAAAAGGGAATTATACACGTTTTTAGAACACAGTACCTATTAGTCTGGATGGTTATATACGATCAGCAGGATGAAAAACAGTGGTGTAATTCTAAATAAAAATCGCTGAGGAACTGCCCTGGGCTGCATTGGTTGTCCAACATGGGAATTAGGTAGGCCTCTCATTTGGTAAAGCATAGCTGCTCTTACATTCATAGCATCTGCTCTATTTTTGTAGAACAGCATGCCTCAAACAGCTGAGGCACAGGCCCCAAGCTACACTGCTATATTATTCAGTTTCGGAATCCAGATTATCTGTTTGAACTGGATTATATGGCAGTACAGATACATATAATCCAGTCCAGAGCAGATAATCTGGATTCAGAAACTGGATTGTGTGGTGGTATAGATTAAGCCTCAGTCTCTGAATCCAGATTATCTGCTTTGGTTTAGATAGACGTCGTTCTTTCTCTCTCATCATATGCATGATAATGCAGAAGTTAGTTCCACAATACTAAGGGAACTTTGTTTACATCGGAGTGTGCCGTTGAACTGCAGCCCGAGAGGGACTTCTTTTAGTGCTTTCAGTATAATCTGAAATCCCATTTGCAGTATGTCATGGTGTAATTGTGCATGTTTGAGGGAGGGATGATGAGAAAGGTACTACTTCTATTACAGTTACACCCTACTCTCTTCCTCTGGGCAGCTCTTGTTATATTATGGTTGTTTCTGAGATGTTCTCCTAACTCAGCAACTACAGTGAATCATGTGTTTCTGACTTTTTGTTAAAATGTTTAAAAAGAAAGGCATTGGGTTGCTGTGAGTATTCAGGCATCTATGGCCATGTTGCAGAAGCATTTCACCCAAATCTATGACAGGTATCCACAGAGGTTGTGACCTCTGTTGGAAACTAAGCAAGTGAGGTTTATATATCTGTGAAATGTCCAGGGTGGGAGAAAGAACTCTTTCTCTGTTTGAGGCAAGTGTGAATGTGAAACAATAGGTCTGCTGCTACCCCCAGTATAACTCAACCCGCCCGTATCCGGGGGGGCGCGACTTGCAAACTACTGGATGCGGATGGTATACGGATGCTCTGTGTGAGGCAAGTGTGATCACTGCCTTGCAAGCTGGCCACTTGTTCGCAATTACATGGAAATGTTTCTCCGCACTCCTTACTATCACAGAGTATTTTACAATATTACCTACCCAGAAAACAAAGAGGGCAACATCCAAAATAGGCGAGAATTTCGGGACCAGGAACGACTTCCTGTTTTAACTCAGACTAAAACCTTGCTCCCCTACACCCAGGCACGCCCCTAGGCAAGGAAGACAGCCACGATGCAGTGCTAATCTCACACTTCCTTCTTTCCGTCATTTCGATATGATTTGGCAAAATCCCTCTATTCTTTTTTCTTTTATATTTCACGTCTAAATT